TTTTTTTTTTTTTTTTTTTTTTTTTTTTTTTTTTTTTTTTTTTTTTTTTTTTTTACGAAAAATCCTTCAGCTAGTTTAACTTTCTTTAGGTGGCTTAGTAAAGTTTTTTTTTTTTTACTCTCGATACTCGTATCGCATAATGGACATTTCACAGGTGTGACTACTCGAAAAAGTATGTAAGAACAAATTATTCAGCCAATAATATTTTTGTTAGATACTTTCGTGAATTTTCTTTATGGCACGGTGAAAATACATAAAACGGTCTACTAATTTGTCAATTTTTTAACAAAAAAAAGAAGTACTGTGACAACGTAAAATGTGCAATTAATTTTTCAAAATGAGAAGGATACGACATGACAAAGTCTCGCACAGCTTGTCAATGAAAATCGCTCATTAACGCACACCACGAGTGCGATCCTTCAAACCGGCGCTAACTGATCATCGGCAAAGAAACTTCAACGCAAAAGCATTTTGTAATTGATTCCCGTGACTACAATACACGCCTTGAAGAAGAAAAAGAAGAAGGGAAGCAAAAAAAAAAAAAAAAAGATTCCCCCATACATCAACGAGTGGGGGATTAGAAAATCATTCAAACCCAAGTACAGAGTGGCACGCTATACCTTCCTCCGTGTAAGATCTGCACGACGGGGAGCAGCAGCGGCAGATATATCCCCTGCACACACTCGTACGCTGCACGCAAATAAGATTCCTCCTCCTTCTCTGCCGCCCATCGCTCGATGCCTCCTCGCCCGATCCTTCCCTCCTCCATCTACCAATCTTTCTCTCTCTCGTTCTCTTCGCTCGCCGCTATCTGTATTTGTGTACGTGTGCACGCGCGAGATTAGAAAAGGAGAGAGCACTGGATGGTAACGAGCGCAGACAGCGTCGATCGATCAGTCTTCGAGAGCAAAGGGATTCCTCTTCTCCTTCAACTTACGTGGGATCACTGCACCAGCAGCGGGTAGAGAGCGATCGAGGGGCACGTTCGATTACCAAGTAATTTATAGCCATAAAACGGCGAGCCAACGCGGCTCGCGATAAGCGGGAGATCGGGAGGTGGACTCCTCCATCAATCGACTGCTGCTCGTTAATCGAGAAATTGTTAGCACGCGCGTGCCTGTATCGTATATAAATATATCGTATATATTTTTTCAACCTGCAGCGAGCACAGACTCGAGACGCGTACAAAATGTTTTTTGTGGGTTGTACAAAGTAAAAATGAAAAAAATGTTTCCCAT